CACTCCCCCACCTCCATCTGACACTGATCTGTTTTGGGATTCCTCCCCACCCTTTCCCTGCCACGCCATGACCTTGAACTCTAGGGGAGCCAGCCACCCCTCCTGCCTCACCGTGTCTCTGTCTCTCACTGTCTGCCATCTCTATGTCTATTTCTGGGCATTTCTCTGGGGGTTCTCTCTGGGTCTGTTTCAGGCTCTGTCTGCATCTCTCCGCGTCTGTGTCTTTCACTCCCCTTGTCTCCCCGTGCATTTTTGTCTCTGCATTCCTGTAGCTGAATCTGCCCCTCTCGGTATCTGTCTATCGGTATCTGTCTGTGACCCCGTTTCTGTCTGTCTTTGTCTCTGGATCCGTGTCTCTTATCTTTCTGTCTCTTTCGGGGGCATCCTTCCCCATGTCTCTGCCATTCTCCCTCTTTGGGCCCCTATTTCTTTCTTTCAGTGGTCTCTGGGCTTTTGGTATACATCTGCCTCTCCATTGTCCCTTTCTTTGCACATCTTTCTAGGAATCTCTGTCTTTTCTCCCTCTCCGTGGGTCTCTGGCTCTCTCTGTGTCTGTGGGTGTCTCTCTCTTTGGGCCTTGGTCTGAGCCTCTCTGCACCCCAGGTGCAGCAGAAGAGCTGAGAACGCACCAGCTCTGCTCCTGTGGTGTGGTGTGGCTTGGGGGCCCTCCCCTCTGTCCTCTCATCTCCCTCACACCTCCCCCTCCCCCCCCTTCCCCCCCCCAGACAGCAGACGTGCAGCCACTCCTAGCTCAGAGAGAAGGTTTATTCCTCCGGGACACCTGCAGCGCTAGGGCAGGGGGCAGGCCGGCTCAGCCTTCAAACTTTTTCTTGCGGCCCTCCATTCCACTCAGCGCATCGATGTTCTTACGCCAGTCTCCCACCTCCCGGTTTTCCTGGAGGAATGGGGTCAAGGGTTAGGGTCTCTCCCTGGTCTACAGTCTCTCAAATATCCTCCGCCCACCCTCCAGCCTGCTGGGCCACTGTGTTTTGGGTGTCCATCCCGGGATCTGGTTCTGGAACACTTCTCGTCCCCTCAGGCAATCCCGGCAAATTTGCCCCCATGCCCATCCTGTCCAACACACGCACTGCGGGCCTCCTTGCTTATGTCTCTTCCTAGGAGACTCTGCGTCTTCCCCTTCTTGTCTCCCCCATGCACTACTTTTCTCTCTCATGGACTTCCTGTAGACCTCACACACGTCCTGACTCCTTGCTACTTCCTTTCTCCCTCATGCACTTCCTGGCTTCCCCTTCTAGTTTCTCTCTTCCTCTTGCACTTCCTATGCCCCTCCTACAGTTCCTATTGAGGACCCCTTACCAGATTCTTCTCCCCATAACTCCAAGTACCTGAGGGCCTGAGTTTAGGCCCTAGGACTGTTGTCTCCTCTGAGCACCCCCTTCCCTGGCCCGAGCCACACTCACCTTCTCTGTGTCCTCCTTCTTCACCTGCTTGAGGTGGGCCCGCAGGTCTAAGGTCTCCTTAGCCCTGGCGCCCAGCAGTGCCTGCATCATAGCATCTGCAGAGATCCTCACCCTCCGCAGGGTGGGCCGCTTAAATTTGCCCCGAAGGTCAAAGATCTTCTGGGTCAGATCTGCGATCTGGGAGCAGCCATAAGAGGAGGTAGAGACCCCCCCACTCCACCTCCCCCAGCCCCATGCTTTCACCCCACATTTCCCTCCTATCCCTCTCCAAACCTATGGAGGCCTCATCCAGGCTCAGCTCCCCCCGCCTTCGGGAAAAATTCCAAGGGCCTCATCCAGTAACTCTAAGTCCTCCCCGATCTGTCCAGTCTCCTCTCTGCAAAGGAGACACTGACACATCCCGGTCCAGCTGTGTGCATCCCACAATTCCCTGAGCCATGCCTGAGCTCACTCATCAACACTCGATGCTCCGGCTACACATTTCCACAGACACATCTTCGCTTTTTCATCTCCTGGCTTTTGCATGCTGTTCCGTCTGCCTGGAACAGCTTTCCCTAACCACTCTATACTCATTCTTCTGCCCCGTCCCTTCCAGCCCCACAGAGCTGTCCTGGGTCTCCTGGCGTCTGCACCCACACACAGCTGCAAGGGGACAGGCACCAGACCCTACCCTGAAGAGACCGAGACTTCCCAATGTCCCCCACCTCCGTGATGTTCTTGGTGACTTTCGCCTCCACGTCGTATCTCTCTTCATCCACTTTGTCCACGCGGGCATGGAGTTGTCGGCACAAGTCCTGGTCAAGGAGTTGTGGTATATGTGGGGGGGGGGACCCCGAGTCCTGAGTCTGAAGGAGGAGGGGCTGGGGGTCTGGACATCTGGTCCTGGAGGAATAGTTTGAAGCTGGACTCTGGGGCAGCTCGAACAAAGGGTGCTCGGAGCCAAGAGTCCAGAGAATCTGACGGAACTGGGACTGGAGAAATCAACCTCTGGATTTTGAGACTGTAGGCAGCTGCAGGCCATATTTCTGAACTCCTGAGGGCAAGGATTGGGAGACTGGACCCCAAGGTCCCCAGCAGAAGTGGGGCATAGTGACTAGACCGTGAGTCCCAAGGATGCAAGACCGGCCATTCGGAACCTTGGATCCCCAGCTGGGCAGGAGTCCCTGCTGAGAGCGGGTACCTGCAGCTCCGCGAAGCCCAGCCCGGCCAGCTCCAGGGGCTGGCACCGCGTGCTCAGAGCGCGCCCCTTCTCTCCGCGCCGCTCCTCCGCCTCCCGCTCCAGCTCTTGCTTCGCAATCTGCAGCATCAGGGTCTGCGGAGGGGAGGCCAGGCGCCGCAGCACCCCCGGGATAGCGGATGAGGGCCGCGCCGCACCGGGGAAGCCGCCCTGGCCGGGACAGCCCTCTCTCTAGTCCCAGGCCCGGTCAGCTGTCCCACAGAGACACTCCCCCTCAAGGTCGGGTCCATCGTTCCAAGGCGGCTCACCACAAGCCCCGCCGCTCGCCACGGAGGCCCCGCCCCCCATGCCCCCAACCCCCAAGCTCTGCCCCCTGAGGACACCTAGGAGCCCCCTCCAGGCCGGCACCTTCAGCTGCAGTTTCCTCGAGGCGGAGATCTTGGACTTTTTCTGCCGGGGTGGAATGGAGCAAGGGACAATCAGGGCGAGGAATGGAAGACGGACGGTGGGGGCGGGGGGGGCGCCTCACAGCCACTCCCCCACACCTGGTCCAGCCCCGAATCTACGGGAAGCCACGCCCCTCATCCCCATTCACCAGTCCTGGCCCCTGACTGGTTAGGCACCGCCCTCTCTACCCTAAGCAGTCGCAGTTCCCACGGGCAACGGAACTCCGCCCATAGGCAGGTCTCACCAATCCGAGCCCTGCCTCTGCAAAACCCCGCCCTTGAAGCGCGGCATCCTCCTAGGCTCCGCCCGCGACCAAAGCCCCGCCCCGTCTGAGGCTCTGGCCCCGCCCCCACCCCTAGGTGCCGCCCGCCTCTGTGGACTCCGAACCCAGACCCGCGCAGCCCCGCCCTCACCTTGGCGTGCGGCTCCGTGGCGTACGCGCGGTAGTTGGCCGAGGACCGTCGTCGGATCGGGGTGGGAGCGGGGGGCGGGCACCCCTCCTGGGGTTGGGGGAACGGAGCCGCGTCACCGCCGGGCCCCCCACCCCCCCCACGTGTCCTGGGGTTGCAGCCTCCTGCCCCAGGCCCCTCCCTGCTGCGCCCCTCCCCCGTTGGTTGCCCCCGGACGGTGCCCGCTCTCACCGCATCGCTGCTCCTGAAGGGAGAGACAGGGAGGGGGGATAAATGGGGGGCTGTGTCCCGTCCTGTCTAAGGGACTCCGGCCCACCAGCTCCCCCATCCTTGGGTCCTAGGGGGTCTGAGTCCCAAACTCTTCCCTCGTGCAGACACCCAGGGATCCTGTCCCCACCTCCCTTCTCAGGCCCTGTGTCCACCTCCCACCGCCTCAGGCCTCGGGAGTCCGAGTTACCAAGTTGCACTCACTCGTCCGCCATGCTGAGACTCAGGCCAGGGGTTGCAGAAGACAGAGAAAGGGCAAGGGGCGCTTGGAGGGTCAGTGAGGGCGCGTCCGGGTGACCTTGAAGGCCCCCGGGGTTTCGTTCTCCTCCGGGCTGCTCAAACTTGACTGAGGACACTGAGACAAGTGGCGTGGACTGAGACTAAATATACTGCTGTCACCTCCTCCCCCTGCCTGGGATGCGAGATAACTGGGGCGCGTGAGGGATGGGGTGGGCCGGGCCGTGCTCCAGCTGGATCACCCTTCCACCTTGGCGGCCTGGGAACTCAGACCCAGGAGTCCAGGCCCCCAGCCCCCTCTTCCCTCAAACCCGGGAACCCAGGCCCCCAGCCCCATCCTCCTCCCTCAGACCCAGAAGTCCAGGACCCCAGCCCCTCCTCCTCCCTCAGACCCAGGAGTCCAGGGCCCCAGCCCCTCCTCCTCCCTCAGACTCAGGAGTCCAGGCTCCCAGCCCCCTTCTCCCTCAGACACAGGAGTCCAGGCCCCCAGGCCCTCCTCCCTCAGACCCAGGAGTCCAGGCCCCCAGGCCCTCCTCCCTCAGACCCAGGAGTCCAGGCCCCCAGCCCCCTCTTCCCTCAGACCCGGGAATCCAGACCCCCAGCCCCATCCTCCTCCCTCAGACCCAGAAGTCCAGGACCCCAGCCCCTCCTCCTCCCTCAGACCCAGGAGTCCAGGGCCCCAGCCCCTCCTCCTCCCTCAGACTCAGGAGTCCAGGCCCCCAGCCCCCTTCTCCCTCAGAAACAGGAGTCCAGGCCCCCAGGCCCTCCTCCCGCAGACCCAGGAGCCTAGGCCCCCAGGCCCTCCTCCCTCAGACCCAGGAGTCCAGGCCCCCAGCCCCCTCTTCCCTCAAACCCGGGAATCCAGGCCCCCAGCCCCATCCTCCTCCCTCAGACCCAGAAGTCCAGGCCCTCAGCCCCATCCTCCTCCCTCAGACCCAGAAGTCCAGGCCCCCAGCCCCCTCCTCCCTCAGACACAGGAGTCCAGGCCCCTAGGCCCTCCTACCTCAGACCCAGGAGTCCAGCCCCCCATTCCCCTCCTCCCTGAGACCCAGGAGTCTGGGCCTCATCCCCACACTAAACTGCAATCTTCATAAGAACTATGGTCAGTTTCTGTATCCCAAACTTGTTAGCCAGTCAATAAATTTTGTTGATTTATTTGAGGATCCAGATATGGCCCAGACTCTCAGGCAACAAAAGCATGGAGAAATCCACCTCTAGTTCACTAGGAACTAGGTCTCCTCTCTTGACCACCCCAGCACAGCCCCTCTGCCAGCCCTGGAGACCAGACTGAAGACCAGAAAGACACATGGGCACACGAAGAAGAGGACCCTGCTCTCTTTACTTGGACTGTGTGGGTGTTGAGCGGCCCTGGAGAGCAGATTCCCCCAATCCCCAGGAGGCCACACAGAGGGCCTAAGACTCAGGGCCGGATCTCTGTAGGCGGTGTTTAGAGTCGCAAGAGTGGAATACATAACTCTGAAAGAACAATCTAGAATTCTAGGAACAGAATATAGAACCCCAGGTAAGTAATCTGAAATACTAGCAGCACCTCTGGAGCTGCCTAAGACTGCTGAGAATACAACTGAGTATTCTAGAGGTGGGCTCTAATTCCAGGACCTGACTTTACAAGTCAGAGATGGGGGACCAGGCATCTGGCAGTGGAGTCAGACTCTCTGGTTTTGGGGTCTGATTCTCTGTGGGTGGAGCCGGAGACTCTGGGGGCTGCTTGAGGCGCCCAGAGGGTGGGGTCCTGCGTTCCAGAGGCTGGCCCTGGTCCTCAAGGGGCGGGACCAGGACCTCAGGGGGCGGAGTCACGGAGCCCACAGCTGCGTCAGGGCGGTGGTAAGCAGAGTCCGGGGCCTTGTAGAAGCGTGCGAAGGTCTCTGAGGGCCTGGTCTGGGGCAGGGGGGTGAACCCAGCCGCCTGAGCCAGCTCCCCGACCCGGGTGGCAAACCCCTGCAGCTGCTCCTGCCGCAGGTCCACCAGGTACCTGAAACCAGGAAGGGGCCCGTTAGGGGTCCCGGCTTTCAGCCCTCAGCCTGGACGTTCCCTGCCCTGCCCTCCGCTGGCTCACCGGGCTAATTCCACCACCAGCCGTCCTCCAGGGGCCACGCAGGCCCCGAGATCGGGGCTGAGAAGATGCACCATCCTGTGCAGAGGAAAGGGAGGGCCAAGACTGAGACTCCTGAGGGAGGAGTGGGGCTGGAGGATCCGGACACTGATTAAGGAGGGGCTGGGGGCCAGGACTCCTGGGTGTAAGGGAGGAGGAGCTGGGGGAGGGAAGTCTGGGAAACTCTCTCTTACCCACAGGCCACATAGAGAAGCTGGAACCGTTCCTTGTAGCAGGTCCTGTGGTGAAGGGTCTGGGCAGAGCCCAGAGGCAGGAAGTGCACATTGAAGAATTCCGGGGCAGGGGCAGCTGGGGAAGAACTGGCAGAGTTAGGCAGACACACAAAGCTTGGAGAGAACACTCCTTGCCTGTCCTGAAGCCCTTTCTCGTAGATGGATTCCTGGAAAACTCTGGGAAGGTCAGCCCGGCAAGCAGAGACCCATTTTACAGACTAGGCAACTGAGACCCAAGAGAAGGGCACCTGGGTGGCTCAGTCGTTAAACGTCTGCCTTCAGCTCAGGTCATGATCCTAGGGTCCAGGGATCGAGCCCCGCATTGGGCTCCCTGCTCGGTGGGAAGCCTGCTTCTCCCTCTCCCACTCCCCCTGCTCTCTCTCTCTGTGTGAAAGAAAAGAAAAGAAAAGAAAAGAAAAAGAAAAAGAAAGAAAGAAAGAAAGAGTGGATGGCCCATGGCCATACAGGGTATCCAGATACCCAGGAAGAGCCAGGTTGGGGGACGGTTACAAGAGAGGCATGACCAGAATGGGTGGGGGGGTGGGGGGTCTCCAAAGGTGAGCTGGGACCCAGCACCTTGCTAGAATGTTCTGTCTCTTAGACTTCTGCAGGTAGGATTAGAATTCTACTGTTGGACTTCAGAATGATAACATGGTGTCAGAATTTAGGAAAGAGAGAGAAATACAAAGAAACAAAAAGACAATGTCAGGAATAGGAGATCACTTATTCAGACATTGGAAACCATATTGGTAAGCACTTGCACATTAAATACCTGAATCTCAGGATGGGGGTCTGGGTCCCACTCTTCCCCAGAGGATGATGTGCCCACTTTACCACCCAACTCCCATTTCAAGGGGGTGAGCTGACGCCGACGCTTACGCTCTGGGCTTCCATCCCCGTCTCGGTGCACCTGCTTGGGGTTTCCGAGGGTGTTTCTCGGGCGCCCCCAGGCGGCCACCTCTCGGAACAGCTCCGTCACATTGTGCTGAGTGATCTCACCAGCGGTCTGGGGAGAGAAGGGGCGCAGCCAGGGTGACAAGGCAGGGCCTAGAGCAGGGCCCTGTGCTAGCTTGGATTTCCAGACTGGGTTTAGAAAGTACAGAGAGGCGGGACCTTCCCCAGCCCCACAACCTCCAGCCACACACCTTGACTGGCTGTCCGTTGCTGGTCCGTAGGAGGCTGTCATCATCCGCTTCAATGCCAAAGGCCACGAATGGCCCCGTGGCGATGTCCCCCCAGTACCCGCGCGCTGCAACACGCTCTCCGTGCTGGGAAAGCAGGGAGAGAAGAGGCAGGGGAGGTCAGTGTTGGGGAGACCCCGGTTCCTGTGTCCCCGGAAAGGACTGGCCAGGACAGGGAGTGGACACGCACATGACTCAGGAGACGACCGGACGCAAGGGTCCGGTTTGGCACGTGGTAGGCGCTCGAGTCTCTGAGTTCAAAGGCGACGCCCGTGTCCCTCCAACGCCGGAACTCGCGAGTGTGGATGACTCGGGCCTGGGTAGGAGGAGGAATGGACAGAGGTCTAAGCAAATCTGGTATATAGGCCCCCAGCCCCTCCTCCCTCAGTCCCAGGAGTCTGGGCCCCCAGCCCCCCTCCCAGCCCCCTCACCCCGCGGTCGTGCAGCTTCATGTGCAAGTCCCAGTCGCTGACACCGCGCCGGGCGTCGTAACGGGAGCCCAGGTAGTGACGCAGCCTGGAGTCCCAGAGGCGGCTCATGGGGAAGGCCTCGGGCCCCTTCTCCCCGCCGGCCCAGAAGCGGAACACAGCCTCCAGGGCGTCGCGCTCGCGGAACTGCACGGCCAGCATGCGTGGGGAGACAGCGAGGGAGAGGGGGCTGCAGGGAGAGCTGTTTCTCCCGCTTTACCCTCCCTTCCATCCCAGGGCGTGGGAACCATTCTCCCATTTCTCAGATGAAGAAACTGAAGTTCAGAGAGGAGCAGCCACCCCCTAGGTCACATCCCACACTGGGAGCCGGGGAGCTGGGGCTCGAACTCCATCAACGAAAACCCTTTGGGGCTGCCCATTTCCATTCTTCCCGGGGCCATCCGGATCCTGGGCGGTGACGGCACCTTGAGGGCGTCCAAGCTGAGCCACGGCAGCTGCTCCGCCAGCCGGTCGGGCTCCGGGACCAGGTGCGCCAGGCGCTTGGCCTGGGCGCGCACGAAGGCGGCCACCTGGGGGCGCAGCAGCGCGTTCCCCCACACCTCCAGGAAGGTCTCGCTCCTCTCTGGGTGGGGGGGGAGGGGGGATTAGTGGGGGGAGCAGAGGAGGGAACCCAGAAATGAGACCCGTGTGGATGACGCATACCCTCTTTATAGTAATCTTATTATGTCATAGTCATGTGAGCATTAGGGACACTGGCCAACTCCTCATCCATCCCTCAAACACAAAGAATAACTTACACCTAACCTAGGCCTCCTTCTAGTCTTCCCCACCCTCCAGGTGAGCCCAGTCCTGAATTTCAAGTTCAAATTTTCCTTGCCTTAAAAAAGAAAACGTTATATATAGATAGGGACGGAAATGGAGATTTATGCGTGTTAAAATAGTACAGTTTTAAATTGTTCCATCTTAGTTAGGAATCTTACAAGAGAACTATATACCTTTCGTTGTATATACATATACATCTATATCAATGTATCTCTATCAATATGTAAATTGTTTCATTTAGTGGTTTAAGAATCTTACAGAGCTATATACTTTTAGTTAGATCTAGTTGTTTCAGAGCCTTTTACAAGGTGCGCTGTGAAATGTATGCAGCGTATTGTGAATGCTCTGGGCTATTAATGACAACTACCATCCATACTCGAGATAACAAGAATCATCACTAAGAGATACTGAGTCTGTATCATAAGCCAGGAGCTATGCATTTTCTTTTAATTGAATCCTCACAAGAACTCTATGGGAAAAGAACTTTTAGGATCTCCATTTTATCAATGTAGAAACAATGTAGGCCCAGAAAGCGGCGGGTACTAGCCCCAGGTCACTCAGCAAGCACAGCCTGAATTTGAACAGACTGTCTCAGTCCAGACTTTGCTCCAGGCGTTAAGCCGAAGTCATTGCCACTGAGAAATCATCATCCCTGCGTCCCTGCCCAAATCCTCCTCCTCCCCTCCTTTCAGGGCTGCCTCCTCAAGGCAGACTCTCTGGTATTCATGTCTCTAACTGAGGCTACTGCTACTCAGGCCTGTGCGGAGGCTTTGCAAAGGACTGAGCTCAACACTCAGGCCTGTGGGGAGGCTCTGCAAAGGACTGAGCTCAGCTCGGCCAAACCTTCCCCACATCTGGGGGACTCACTACCTCTTAAGAAGTCCTTTGGTCTCTTTTGGCCCTCTTGTGTGGTAGGAGGCTTTGAATGCTTACCCTATGGCATGCACTGGGCTGAGAATTTATGTGGATTTTCTTCTGGGATTCTCTCAATGGCTCTAGGAGATAGTATATTTTTGTACAGGTGGGAACAATGACCAAAATGTTTAATAGTACCATTGAAATGCCAGAATCCCTGTGGGCAGGGGGAAGAGGCTGGGGGGCAGAATGTCTGGGTCCTTGCAACTGACCTTGCAACCCCATCTTCTCAGGTTCCTCCAAAGCTAGGCTGAAGATCAGCATGTGTCGGGCCACAGCTTCCAGATTATTCTCTAGCACAAAGAACTGGAAGGACAGACAGAGCAAAATGATTCTGAGATTTGTGTCCCTAGCTCCTAGGAGACCCAGGAAAGGAAGACCTCAGCCTCCACCCTCCACAGGATCCAGGCATCCTGTACACTGGCCCCCTTCCTTCAAACACAGGAGTCTGGGCACTCAGAACCCTCCTTCCCACCGTTACTCTGGGGACCCAGTCTTTAGGCACTCCCTCCCACCTGAACCCAAGAGTCCCCAACCCAGGAGTTTGGGTCCCCAGCTTCTACCTCCCTCGGACCTAGCAGTCCAGGCCTCCAGCTCCCTTCTCCCTCAGGACTTAGGAATCTGGGCCCCCCTCTTCATCCTCCTCCCTCCACGACCCCATAATCCCAGCTCACATGTAACCTCTTGCTAGGCCAGAGCGCCGCCCGGGCCAGGGTCCGAAGCAGGTGCCGCCCATCCACGGAGCCCAGCAGCAGTACATCTAGCTCGGGGGTCCTGGGCTCTGTATCGCCCCTGGAGTCCACAGGAGGACCTGGCAAGATGACGCACGCAGGCTGGGTTGGTGGCCTGGAGAGCGCCCCCTGCAGCCTCCTCAGAACGATGGACTACAACTTCCAGCAGGACTCGCGCTCCTGGCCTAGAGTCTCAAGGGAGCTGTGCCTCTAAGCATTCTGGGACTTGTAGTCCGCAGAGGTCATTCGGGCTGCCCAGTGAGGGGCGGCTCCACCGTTGGAGCCTCGGGGAACGTTAGCGCGCCGCCTGCCAGGCTGGGAAGGCAGCCGCCTTGCCAGATGTGGTCCTGGGTGGGGACTCACTCTCAGCCTGCAGGTCCAGCGCCGGGGACAGGCCCCACCAGGACACGGAGCCGAAGCCTGCGCCCGAACCTGCCGGTGTGGTCATGGCCCTGCGGAACAGACATCCTGGGAGTCCCCAGCCATCGTCTCTGCGTCGCTCACCCATGCCCCTCTCACCGCCCCTCCCTTCTCGCCCCTCTCCTCCATGTGACACCCCCTCACCTCTATCCTTCCAGAGACTCCGGGACGCCCCCCCCCTCCCTGCTCGGTGCGGCGCCGCTGTTCTGCACCCCCTACACGCAACTGCCCAGAGCCCCCTTCCTTTTCGACCAATCAGCCAATGGGAGTACGCGGGTTGGCACCGGCGCGATCAACTGACCAATGGAGCGAGCGGGACCTGCCTGCTACGAACTTTTGGCCAATGGGAGCGCTCGCGGGAGTGGAGGGCGTGTGGACGCGGTTGTCATGACGACGGCGCTGGAGGGGAAGGGGCGGAGCCGGGGGAGTCTGGGGCGGGGCCTGGGGCGATCCACATTTCTGGGATGGGGGACGTATGAGGCGACTCAAGTTGACCTAGAACGGAACAGAATCTTTTTTTTTTTTTAAAGATTTTATTTATTTATTCATGACAGAGAGAGAGAGAGAGAGAGAGGCAGAGGGAGAAGCAGGCTCCCCGCAGAGCAGGGAGCCCGATGCGGGACTCGATCCCGGGACCCTGGGATCATGACCTGAGCCGAAGGCAGACGCTTAACCGACTGAGCCACCCAGGCGCCCACGGAACAGAATCTTGATTAATTCAAATTAAAGTGACGCCACCCAGAGCTCTGGGTCCCCTTACCCCTCACACCGTGGTTCTACCACCCAGGCGGGAAACGCAGCGAAGGGCTGGGGCTAGCTAGCACTAGCCCCCGGTTGTTCAAGTGTCAGTAATCCTGCGACCTGGTTGTTACGCACAGTCATTACTAAAAATTAAATTGTTTCACTAATTAGTAAAATTAAATTCAAGTTAAATGCATTACGTTAAAATAAAGGTAATATGTACACAAAACTCATCACTTCTTATTTTACTATACTTGTCCTGTTGTTGATGGTCTTAAGGTTTTTTACATCAATTGTCGTACCCAAATGAAGGAAATAATATTTTAACGCAATAATAAAAAAAAAAAAATCAAATTGGCAAACTACGACCACTGGTTGTCTATTTTTCTACGTAAAATTTTATGAGAACCAGGGCCAGGGTTGGGATGAGGCAGAGTGGTCCAAGTGCAGGGTCAGACCCTGTCTTTAAAATTTTTATATTTTATCTATCATGGATCTCTCTCTCTCTCTCTTTTTTTTTTTTAAGATTTTATTTATTTATTTGACAGAGAGAGACACAGCGAGAAAGGGAACAGAAGCAGAGGGAGTGGGAGAGGGAGAAGCAGGCTTCCCGCGGAGCAGGGAGCCCGACGCTGGGCTCGATCCCAGGACTGTGGGATCATGACCTGAGCCGAAGGCAGACGCTTAACGACTGAGCCACCCAGGCGCCCCTTATTTATTTATTTTTAAGATTTTTTTAAAAGATTTTATTTATTTATTTGAGAGAATGAGATAGAGAGAGAGCATGAGAGGGGGGAGGGTCAGAAGGAGAAGCAGACTCCCCACTGAGCAGGGAGCCCGATGCGGGACTCGATCCTGGAACTCCAGGATCATGACCTGAGCCGAAGGCAGTCGCTTAACCAACTGAGCCACCCAGGCGCCCTATTTTTAAGATTTTTTTAAAATTTATTTATTTATTTGACAGAGAGACACAGCAAGAGAGGGGACACAAGCAGGGGGAGTGGGAGAGGGAGAAGCAGGCTTCCCGCGGAGCAGGGAGCCCGACGCTGGGCTCGATCCCAGGACTGTGGGATCATGACCTGACCTGAAGGCAGACGCTTAACAGGACTGAGACACCCAGGTGCCCCAGGATCTCTCTCTCTCTCTCTCTTTTTTTTTTTTTGCATTAATTTTAATTTTTAAAAAAATTGTATTAAAACACTATTTATCTTGGTGACTGGTGGTTTTGTTTTGTCGGCTTTGCCTTAAATTTTGGAACCTTTGTCCTGACCCTGGGAAATACTATTTTACTATATGATAGTATACTAATAAGCATCTCCTCTCAACTCCATACTCAGTGACTTCACACTGGTGGCTTGAAATCAGCCACAGTGGGAGTATTTACGCCATGGAAATAGGCAGACTACACAACAGGGCTTCAGAAAGCTGGTAACGGAGGTGGGGGGCGCTTGGGTGGCTAAGTCGGTTAAGCGACTGCCTTCCGCCGATGTCATGATCCCGATGTCATGATCTCAGGGTCCTGGGATCGAGTCCCACTTTGGGTTCCCTGCTCAGCGGAGAGTCGGCTTCTCCCTCTACGCCTCCCCCCACACCCCCGTTTGTTATCTTGTTCTCTCTCTCACGCTCTCTCTCTCAAATAAATAAATAAAATCTTAAAAAGAAAACAACAACAACAAAAAATGTTGGTAATGGCACACACCAAGTCCTTTCTGGCCTATGCGTCTGAATTCGTTGCGTAGTTCCCTCCTCCAATTTCCGCTCCCTCCCCATCCCCCACCTCCGCCACTGCCCCTGGAAATGTCCAAGTCCAGCAGGAGATCTTCCTCCAAGTTCTGCTCCTGCCTTCCCAGCCGAATGGCCACAGCAGTCCATACCCTGTGACTCCCTGTACTTTATATTCAGACCAGATGGCAGGATGCTCGAGAATGTGACTTTTGGTGTCAGATGTGCCTGGCTTTCTGTCTTGCCTTCACCTGCTGGCTGAGAGACCTCCACCAGGTGACTTAACCTGTCTTCGAGGTCCATAAGGGCAGGGACTTGAGTGAGGCACATCTCCAGATCAGCCCCAGCACCAAGCACAGGGTGTGACACCCAAGGAGCCTTGGCTCTCTGACTCACCTCCTCCAGCTATGCAACCTTAGACAACCAGTCACCCTTTCTGTGCCTCAGTTTTCTGCTCTGTAGATTGGGAATGGTAACATGCAGTTGGCAGTGCTGTGATGGATTGAAGGGGGGTCCATTCCCCTTCTGAGGACAGTTCTGGGCACTGGGGAGTGAAGCTGAGGTCTCGGGACACCCTGCAGGACTCACTGGCCTCCTGACTCTTTGGGGAACACACCAAGCCTATTCCTGCCCCAGGGCCTTTGCAACTTAGGGTTCCTTCTGCTTGGAAGTCTCTTCCCCTTCATCTTTGCTTATTTTTATTGTGGTAAAATACACACAACATAAAGTTTAATGACATTTAGTACATTGACAATGTTGGGCAACCATCACCACTGTCTAGTTCCAGAACTTTCTCATCATTCCATAAGGAAGTCCTGTACTCATTAATCAGTCTCTCCCCATTTCTCCTTCTCCCTAGTCTTGCAAACCACAAATCTACTTTTTTTCCCCTCTATAGATTGCCTATTCTGGATATTTCATACAGATGGAATCATACAATATGTGGCCTTGTCCGTCTGGCTTCTTTCACTTATAATCTTGCTTTCAAGGTTCATCATGCGTAGCATGAATCAGTGTAAACATTCCTTTTTATGACTGAATAATATTCCAGTGTATTTCCCCTTCATCTTTGCCAGCCTCGTTCCATCTTGTCCTTCAAAGCACAGCTCAAACATTACCTCTTTAGGTAAGTTGTCCTTGACTGCCCTGATCTCAGCTCTCATTAGCTTACTGCCCAGTACGGACCACCATTTGTAATGATTTTATTCTTCTCATTTGTTGGCTTTCTTGTTGACACGGAACTAGGGACCCCAATGTCATCATCTAACTCAGAACAGATTTGATCCCAGGATTTAAAGACAGATTTCCTGGCTGTATGATCCTAGGCAGGTCATGTTACTTCTCTGAAGCAGTTTCCTCATTTGTCAACTGGGAATAACCATGTCTATTTCATGGGGTGGTTGTGAGGATTATTGTTAGCAGGAGTAGCAGTAATAGTAATAATAGTAATACCTCAGGCTATTTTCATAAAGACGTCCCCTCACTCACTCACACATGAGAAATTACCACATCACTTTGAAGAAATTTGTTAAATCGCATAGACATTACAACCTGTGTAACTGATCAGATTTCCCTTTTCCCATTGGCTACCAGGAAGCTCAGTGCAGGTTAATACTCTGCCCTTTCTTTAGTACATGGGGGAACCTGTTGCCTCATTTTCCTCTTAACCTCCTGGTCAGAGAGCTCTCTTGCCAAATTTCATGGACCTTTGTCTACCACCTGAAATCCTGTCTGGGATGAGAGGAGGGAGGAGCCAATGAAATGATTGTCTTTCCTAGACAGGGATAAGGAGGCAGCATTTGTTGAAGGAAGGAAGAGGTAGAACCATTAGTTTTCCCCTGCATAACTCTGTCCTTTCTCCCAGTTTCTGGGAATCTCATTCCCAGACTCTACATATCTACTTTGTTTCCGTGATGAGAGTAAGTCGCCTGGGGGTAAAGTTTGGATCTGCATCAACTTAGGGTTCCAGCATCCGACAGAAACTGCCACCCTGAAGACCTCAGGGAAAATAGAATGGATCAATGATGGAAGAAAGAAGGTAAGGGAGGGAAATATGGGTATGAAAATCTATGGAAGTCATGGGTGCGGGAGCAGAATAAATTCGTGAGCAAGTACGTGATTCTCACAGACTCTTCATAGCAAACATACAGGAGGTATTGTTATGACCACAATTTTTTCAGATGAAGAAACCCAGGCTTGGAGGGGTGCATGAACAAATAAATGAATACATGGGTGGTGGGTGGGTGGGCCAGTTTCCCTCAGTGTGTTTCCAGGATGAGCAGCCCTATCCTTGCCCTTGGGTGATCCCACCCTCTTGGGCCCCTGGCCCCTGCCCTGCCCACCCCATCAGTAAGCGCAAGTCCGGGCCACCAAAGTTGCTGAGTATTTATTTGGTCCCAGGAGCGGTGCAGGAATCTGACTAGGGACAGGAGGGGGTGATCCTGTGCAGGAAGAGGGGCACTGGGAGTGAAGAGGGTAGAAGGCTGGGTCACTGATTGTCAAAGCAGAGAGTGGGAGGCTGGGGTTGGGGGAGTCCAGATTGCTCCTCTCCCCCAGGGGTCCCTGGGGCTTCTGGGTGTGTGCTTGGTGGGAGAGTTGGCAAGTCACCATGATTGGTATAATGGGGGGTGGCAAGGCAGGAATGGGTCAGTTTGGGGTGGGGTGGGGGTGGTTAGTGGTCAGAGTAGGCTTAAAGGTAGGCCTGGGTGTGGCTCTGGCCAGGAGTCTGAGGTCAGGGGCCGAGTCCAGGCTTGGCAAGGGGCTTGAAGT